TCGATTAAGATAACTCCATGATAATCCCAAAAAAACAATCGTCATCATTTTCCCAGCCGAAAAGCAATTTTTGCTTCTTTTGGAATAGATTCCTTCTTCGCAATCCACTGTTTTGACTGTATTTTTGTTTTTGGGGTATAATTGTGTATCCAAGTTTCATCTACAATAATTAATTGGCTCTAAAACTCTGATTTATTGCGCCTAAACTGCGCCAACAGAGCGTTGGAAATGTTCATTCGAACACGTTTTTGGCTTCATATGAGCAAACGCTACACCCAATGTGCGGACAGTTTTCTCATGCCTAAATCTTGATTCAATATAGGACAAACACATTCTTTGGTTATATTCATAGCCTGTACTATCTTTCTCACTTTAATTCGACAATTGTCTAGCACCATTTGGTGAACTTGAGCGATGTTATTGTCAGTAATTGCAGTTTTTGCACGTCCCGAACGTAAATCGTCTCCCAAGCTTTAAGTTCAAGGCACGTTTAAATTCAGCTGCCCAAAATTTCACGGTGGTAAATGATGGTGCAGAATTCCTGTACACAGCGTCCAACTCTTTTTTGATTTGCGTAGTCGTATTGCTTTTCAAAAACAAATATTTAATGACAGTTCGATACTCGATTTTTTCCATTTTCACAAAAACACTCACATCGACTCGCTCAAATGATTATCAAACAATTGCGCGTCCAAAATGGTTGAAATTTTGGTGAGTACTTTTCAAAAGATACGCAAACACATTCCCTAGTTTTTGTTGATAAATACTAGCATGTTCATGTTGAGGTCGGAAACTTTTCAGACCACCCTCCTAACCACAATGAAACAGGTAGATATTATGAAAAAGTGAAATAATTTATTCGATGATAAGAAACCCATTACCCAGCGTCGAATCGAAATATTAAATTATTAAAAAACACTATATGTATTCATATTGTATAAATCATTATCTATAAGAATTCCAGCGGACAATGGATAAATTGTATTTGTAAATTGTATTGTTATTAACATTATTATATAATTTAAGTGACGATGAAAACTTTAAATAATGTCAGCATTTATTCAAAGGTAGCCGAGATTAATTGAAATAAAACAATTGATATATATATATATATATATATATATATATATATATATATATATATATATATATTCCAGAAAATAGTAGTGTAAAAAATGTTGGTTTTTATTCGGGCGTGGCTACGATGACTCTTTTCGGCCAAAAACTACTCCTAACTGAGTGTCGAGTATCGGGACATCGCTCTCAAGAAAATATAAAAAAATAATCTCGCTCGAGAAAATATAAATAACCTAACGATGCTGTGAAGACACAATGCCTCTATGCGTTTATTGCATCTTAAACAAACATCCGAACCGAGCCATGCCGATACGATTCCTTGTTCTTTGTCGCATCTCACGCACTCACTACGACGCTATTCTCGCGTTCCACTTACAATAAATAACTTTACGAATTATTAAGGAAAACAAAGATGCGACTTTTGCTGATGTTACTAACTAACTCAAAGCGCATATAATTATAATATATCCGAGCTTACAAATAGTAGTGAATCTAACTAATGAGTCAGATTTGATAAATACAATTCATACAAACTATAAGAATAAACGCTTCCGAGTCAAAGAGAGAACCGAAAATGCGACTAATTCGAAAAATAAGAACTAATTATATCGAGATACATAAAATAAATCTAATGGAATATGTAACAATTATCGGGCTATGGACTTTTTCCACGAAACTCTAAAAGCTTCTAGTTTTGTGCATGTTCTAATATAATCCATCATTCGTTGATTAATTATCAAAAAAAAAGTACTATTTACATTACAATTACTGCTTTGAAAATATTATTTATTGATCTCCTTCCTGGAGTGGATCCAGCTTTTATTTTTGTCCAGATAGTTCCATCAGGAGCAATTTCAGTTTGTTGACGGTCATTCTCATCCGAAGATGACGACAATCTCAAAAGTCTTCTTGATCTACGTACATTCAGGATGTTCTCTTCTTCACTATTGCTGTCTGAGGAAACACACTTCTTCTTCTGATTGATCCTCTGAAATATCTGCTGGTCCAATCTCAGGGTCAAAATCACCTTGGTCCATATCGGAAAAGTCTTTTCTTATATTTGTTATATTCTCTAAAATTTTTGGTATTTTTGGACGTCTCGGCATTTTTAGGGTAAAGTTTCTGGATAAAAATATTCTAAATATATTTTCCCTTATTATAATAAAAATATTCACAATTTACTTACATTTCAAGCTACGATAACTATAAATTGAAAGAAATATATTCAGCACAATTGTCCACAATATTGAAACTATTTCAACCGTATACAACTGCCAATAAAAAAATGACTGAATACTATACTGAGTGTAGGTATTTCAACTGTATACAACAGTTACCAATAAGAAAATAAAAAAGTATCACAAAACATAAAAAAGTATCACACAGAAACATTAAAAATACCGACCGGTCAAAATGAATTAACTCTTCTTAATTCTTAAAATCTTAAGCCACATGTACGCTCACTACCAGTTCCAGAGACATAAACGGTTTAGATCTTCCAGAGACATAAACGGTTTAGATCTTCCAGAGACATAAACGGTTTAGATCTTCCAGAGACATAAACGGTTTAGATCTTCCAGAGACATAAACGGTTTAGATCTCGGCTTAATTTCTTCCCTTCCAAATATACACTTCAAGGATTTCCACTAATCTTGGCACCACCCAGACCGCGCTTCTTGATACAATAGATCTTCTGTTAAAATATGAAATCAGAATCCTAATGATAAAATTATTATTCGATAAGAAGCAACTTTTATAGAAGTCAGTTAGAATACATCTGCAGAAGGGGAAAATTAAAAGGAGTCAGTCAGAGGAAAACTGTGAAGGCAATCAATATTTGTCTTTTTGTAAAACTGATCACTAATTAGCTAGTTAGTCCGTAATTAATTCTAAGTCTGTATTCGGTGAAGTCGGCAATTAAGTAATAAGTTCGTATTTTGGAATCTACAAAATCAATAATTAAGTAATAATTTAGTATTTTGCATTCTGTAAAATCGCAAATTAAGTAATAAGTCCGTATTCAGCGATTCATAAGTCAATATGTCATAAAACTTATAAGTCTATTTCGAAATTGATCGAGAGTCTAATAAATTTATAAGACTACATCCAAAAATCGATGAGTCTTCAATCAGTAGAATATCCGGTATTCTCTTAAAACGCCGATAGAACATTGTCCAATTACCTCATTGAACTTGGAAGCCATCCTGATACCACATTTATAGGAAAGGTAAGCAAATTGGAATTACTATTCTAATAGTGTATCTACTGGGTTTTTCTTTTCTCATTTTATTAATCAATCAAATATTCTTCTATTTTATCCCTCTTGTCTCCTTGTGTAATCGTTTGTCTTTGAATACACATTCTTTAAGGTCAATCCCTGGTAAAGGCTTCGCGGCCTAACCAATTGACCATCTTAAATTATGCCACAGAATAAGTTAATATAACTGCAAAATATAAAAATTAAATGTAAAAATTTAATTATTTTAATATATTTTACCATAGCATATATACCTGTTGCTTATATTTATATTTTTAATATAATTAACTCGTTTTGATTGTTTCTGATTCTATCGAATATTTGTAATAATTGTATTGGTAATAATTGAATAAAAGAGCAAAGTATTTTTAATGATGAAAATAATTATTGAAAAAAGAATAGTATTTTAATAAGTATTTTTATACTATACTTCTATTTAACGTTATTTTTTCATTTCATTGTAATGTTTTTTTTTGGTGTAAGCTGTTCTTATTTTCTATATATTATTTCTATTATCGCAACAATAATTTTATTCTATTTCCCTTGGAAAAGTCTTTTACCCTTGGAAATATTTGGCAATATATAAATTATCGCTAAATTTTCTGACTTCTCTTTTGACATGATTTAATCAATTAGTTTTATCATTTTAATGTTATATTTTACAAATGTATTTGTGATATAATTTAATATTTATTTTCTCTTTTCCGGGAATACACTTAAAAAATTTAGCTGCGCAATGGTTTCCTTGGTTGATGGAGGATCACCTGCTCCGATTTAGAGGCTCTCAGTTAGGGTCTGAATTATTTCCAGCGTTTTATTATGGGAACATTTCATTTTCCCTGAAATATCCCCCTTAAGATTGCGGCATCTCAACCTAGCGTTTTCGGCATCTAAGGTAACTTCCCTGATGTTATCCAGCAACCTACCAGTCTCCACCTGAAACAAGGGGGTCTCTACCGGTCCTTCCCCACTTAGCACGGGCCAGTCTACTCCTTGACTCAATCTTGGGACAGTCTTGACTTCTCTTCCTCAGACGAGTAGATCACGGGCCTAGCACGTTTGTGCTTTCTCACCTGGTTTGGTGACGTCAAGCCGGATAGCCGCATGCTCTCAACGGCCCTGGCAGCCCTTTGCTACTCCTCCAAGTGGCTTTCTTCGCTACTTACACATCCACTTCCTGGCGCTTTAAACACACCTCAGGCCAGGTCGTCTACCTGTGGTGCCTTTGCTGAGGCAGTATCCAGAGCCGGGGCCAGGTTGCCTACCCCGAGCTTTTGGCAGTTGCTGGTTGGCGACGGCGGGTGGCCTGCCCTACCACCACCTGACACCGCCGTGGCGTGGGTATCCCTCCCACGCCCGCTTATTCCTTTCGCTGTACTATCCATAATGAATAATAATGATGTATTATTGGGAGCCAAGCTCCCCAAAGGAAGGGAAAGGAACGGAAGGAAGCTAGAGAGAGAGAAAAAGAATAGAAAAAGATATGACAAAAGAACAAAGAAAGTAATAGCCGTACAAGAACATTCACACACCATTCACGCAGTCCCTTTTAGTCGCCTCTTACGACAAGCAGGGAGTACTGTGGAAGTATTCTACTACGTCCTACCCACAGGGGGACATACTCCAAGATGTAACGCAACTCCACAAGACTTGCACATTAAGTTTGTTATTCTTCTTTTTTGTTTTTGGAACATACGTGGCAGTTTCTTCGTTTTCGTTTATTCGTTTTGGAAATAAGTACTAATTGGTGTTGCTTTATGTGACCGGAAAGTCTGTCAACCGGATCATGATGAGACGTACGCGATGTAGTGACAACCTCCAAGTTTTGCTCAAAAGCAGGTACATGGTATTTTATCCACGAATCAGACATTTTCAATAAAAAGTCGTGAAAGCGGTGTCTCTTGTGTTCTGTATTGAAATATTGACATGTATGGAATGCATTAAATAATACGCAATTAAAGAGGTACATGCAAACCTTTTTTGACCATTTTATAGTTTTTCTGTATATAGGGTAATAACTCAAATATTGTTCTACCCGATCCATTCCTTTCATGTATTTGTTGTAGTCTAAAACACTTTCAGGTTTTTTTATTGTGTAATTGGTTTTTCTACATTTTATTTGAGTGTTAGTCAAAGTGGCATTATGTATTGTAGAGATCATTCGTATCGTTTTAGTTTTCGAAGCTCTCCATACCTGTGCGAGTACTTCACCTTTCCGTTGATGACAAGCTTCAAATACATTGACATTTGCGCGCTTTAATTTTTCCGAAAATCCTCTATTTTGTCGTATCGTTCCACAAACTCGAATTTTCTTTTCAAGTAAATTCCCTGCAAGTTCTACACTGTTGTAATAATTATCCATGTAGAGGTGATACCACTTTCCATAAGAAGATGCCAATAGTTCCATCACTGTTTTAGCTAAAGGCTGTCCAACGCCGGAGTATATCTTGAATGAGGAAATGTATCCCGTAATCGAATCACACAGCATCCGAATGAGTATGCCATATTTCGTAATTTTCGTAAACTTTAAAATTTAACCATCCACGCCACGGTATCATTCCTTCATCAGTTGAGATGTTTTGACTTAGGTTAAAATTTTCTTTAAACTTTTTGGAAAAATAATCAATTACGAATTGCACTTTGAAAGGCCGGTCGGCATTATTCGGTTTATTGTTGTCGGAAAAATGTAAAAATGATAATATTTGTCTGAATCGGTTGCGGGACAACATTTTGCGAAATATCGGTGTGTCTATCAACGGATTCGTTGATCAATAATCATCGATCCTTGCTTTTTTTACAGTACCCATAAGTATAGCAAGCCCAAACCATTTTCTAAGTTCGGATACCGTAATGTCCACAAATTTGGCATTTTTTTATCCAGTTTCCTTCTATTGCAATTTTAACTGTAGTACTTGTTGGTTTTATTGCTAATATATTCAAATAGATCGTTCCCAGTATATAATTCTACGATATCCTCGACGCTCTGTGTATCTTTGGGAAATATGTTTGAACCCGGAGATCCTTCAAATTTATTATTAGTCCTCGGTAAATCAAAGTCTGACCACTGTGCACTTTCTTCTTCATCTGATTCATCCGAATCAGTTGGCAACTGTAGCGTTCGCCGAATTCTTCTTATAGGTATTTCACTATCTTCCGACGATTCTGCTTCACTTTCATTTTTTTGATATCCATCGTCTTCTTCCCAATCGGCCAAGTCATCCAGAACGTCAGACAAGACGTCCGCGCATTCATTGTAAATAATCGTATCGTCTCTTTCGTCTGCCATGATGAAAGGGCACAAGTATTTATAAAAACAAAAAACTCGTTGACGTATGTAACTTATTGTTACCTAAACAAAGCACTAACAGAATGCAAAAGATACTAAAGTGCTGTCGCCGGCCACTGAGTGATACTATGCACACACCACTGTGGTGTTGCCGACCGTTGACCGCTATTTTACGCACATCATTGTGGTGTCGCCGGATGGCATAGTGTTAAAATAATATGATATATATCTATTCACTAATTATTTGTAAGAAAATATTCGACGAATTACTATTTTTGGTCACAGATTTATATACTAATTCTTATATATGTCTATTATATTTATTATTTTGTATACATTTATCGTAAAATAAATGCGTACCGATATCGTATCTAACTTATTGTCATGTACGTGTAAAAGGGAAATAACCAATAGAAGCTTATACACCGATACAATAGACGCATGATGAAACAACATTCTCCATTTGTTTTGTAGTTCTTTTTTTTCTAGTTTTTGTATTTTTTTTTTTGTAGTTTTTTGTAGTTTTTTTGTCCATATCTATCGTCGAAGTAAGACTTCGCTTCGAGTGAAAGATAATGAGCATCCTTAAAATGTTAAATTCAACCAATAGTTCAATTATTGGTAATAGTTCAATATATATTATATATATTTATATAATAAAATTTATTAATAAATATAAATAATATTAATTTATTAATAAACATTTATATACTTTAAATAATTAAAATTTATAATTATATATTCATTTATACATTATTTTTATATTACAATTAAATTTTTATAATTCTATAATTATTTTTTTAAAAGATTTAATAAATATTTTTATTACACAGCAAAGGTAGTAAATTTGTAATTTATTTTATTTTATAACAACTATTATGATGCTCCAATTACGTGCACTTTGGCGCTGTAATCACAATATTAAAAAAAGAAGTACGTTGACTGAGCTAATTTCGCCATCTAGTGCTCAAAAAAGAAATAATTGTGAGTTTTAGAAGTGTAGGTTCTTGAAATCTATTCTATGTTCAACTATCTAACTATGAAATATAGCGTTAGTGATGATAGCCGGTGTGTATTGTCAAGATCAAATAATAACTTTAGGAAGTTTTATTTATTTGTGTAAAATAATTGTTGTAATTTTATTTGTTACATAGAAAAACAGATTCGATTAATCATCACCATGAACAAATCATAAAAAATGCCCAAAGTAGCTAAGGTAAAATAATTTTTATACATTAGTATATTTTATTTTATAATTATAAATTATACCATACGCTTCACTTATAATTGTAATACTTATTCGCAATTTAAATCATTTTTAGGTGAAAAATAAAGTACCTGCGGAAATTCAAATCACAACAGAACAGCTATCAAGAGAAGCAAGGAGAGAAATTTGAAAATGTTGCCTCCTGTAAAAATAATGATAAAATCTTTATATGATGTTAAACCTACCAATAATTTAACATAGAGAATAATTCATTTACATGTACTTCCTTTTAGCCATCTAAGTAAAAAATATCAGATCCCCATGAGTTGGTTGATTATCAACATCGAAAACAAAAGATGTATAAAGATAATATACATAAGAATCGTATGGTTATAACGAATTGAATAAAATATGCCGAATAAGATAAAAGTCAGAAACAAATACAGAGAGCAAGGTACTTTGCATGCAAAAGTAGTAAATTTTATAGTATTAGTTATGTTAGAAATATTTCAAGGTTTTATATGTATATTTTAGATCTATATATGAATGTGCCTTAAATCTTGATTACAGTAACATTATATATTACATAATATTATTATGGTTGAAGTATATTGAAATGGAAATGCGTAATAGACAAATAAATCATAATGTTTTTCGATTATGTGAGATTAGTAGAATTCAAAGAAAATCCTAATATTGTAAGAGAAATATATAAACGAACTACAACAAATGTCTCTCCTAAGTAAGTTAAAATACTTACATTTTAACAATTTTAAAGTTATATTTTGAAGTTTTTTTCCATAAAATAAATTTTGTACAGGAGAAGCAATATTGGAGACAATATATCTATCTGTGGATAAATTATGCTTTATACGAAGAACTTGACACGGAAGGTATAGATAAATGTCAAATTTACAGGTACCGTTTTTTTTATATAAAATTATTGTTATATATATTATAAGATATAATATTTATAATATTTTGTTACATATAAAGATATAACTTTCTATTTTTTTATTTTTTTAAACCTGTTTAGAACTTATTCCACATAAATGCATTTTCTAAGATATGGCTATTTTATACATATTTCAAAATACAACAAAAAAATTTGACTGTAGCGAGAAAAACATTAGTATGCTATTATTATAACAATTTTTTTCTTATTTATAAGTTTTGAATTATTGTATTTTTAAATATTTAATTTCATTTAATTTAGAGTATGGCACTGATGTTTGTCCCAGAAATAAATTGTATTGTGATTACATTGATTTAGAGATACAACTTAGAAAATTTAATAGATGCAGGATTCTGTATGAAAAATTCGTTGAATTTAGCCCTGGAAACTGCATAACGTAGATAAAAGTAAACTAACGTAAACTAACGTAGATAAAAAGTAAACTTTTCCTATAGTTACATTTATCTTATTTTTTATCTTATATTTATTTACTTATTATAATGCTTATATAGTATAAAAAATTAAAAACTTTATTAAGATACATTAACCATGTTAGAGCTATTTATGAACTAGTTGTATTTCATCTAAGATAAGTTATATTTCTACAAATTGCAATTAAATATAATTAAAATTGTATTTTTCTTTTATTTTTATTTTATATCAAAATCATATTTAATATCTCTATTATTTTTATTATTATTTAAATTGGATGTGCCTAAACTTTTATAGAAATCATATATAACTTTTGATATATTTCATATATTTAATACTAGACTACTATTTGAGAGATTATTAGAATGAACTCTTCATGTCAAAGTAAGTTTGATTTTGTGATATGAATATAACAATTTACAAATATTTTAATACATTATATTATAGGTTTGGATAAGGTATGCTAAATTTGAATTAGCTAATTTTCCATCGGAAGATAATATTGATAATGTTACTTTAGTTTATAGAACTTTTGAACGTGAGTATGATGCATTACGTTAAATGAAGAAGACGAATTGTTGGAGAAGATGGAGTATGTAGATTAATATTAAATAGTTTTGGAGGAATTTAAATTAAAACAACATTAATCTTTTTTATCATTTCAGAGTGATGGATAGGAAAAAATATTCAACTTTGTATTTCCGGAAAACAAATCCCAAAGATCAAATCTTAAATTCTTGGCATTAGTGAAAGTATGAATAAAACAAATCATTTCTAGTGAAATTGTTCAAAATGGAAATAAATAATTAGAATCGAACAATTAAAAATAAGCTATATCTTTTATATTATTATAATATTAGAATGTCCTATAAGTTTTTTCTGCGCCACACTATGTATGACCTCGAGCCGGCTATGTTAGTAAACATGTAGGTTTATCTATTGTCCCTTTATGGCATCAATTTCAGTCATCTCGCAGCTTTTTCAAAGTACGTTTCGTTGGTGACAAAGTCTCCTTTAAAATCTTTTTCTGCGCCGTTCAATATGAATAGCCAACAGAAGCATTTGCGGCATGTAATGCTTCATTACTTTAAAAAAGGTCCTGCAAAGAACACTGCAGATGAGATTTGCACCGTTTATGGGAGTAGTACTACAACTATTAGAACCGTCCGCAATTGGTTTAAGAAATATAGAGCTGGCAATTTTGATTTGAAAGATGAAGACCGCAGCGGACGCCCAGCAACGATGGATACGGACCTCATCAAGAGTATGCTTGTTGAAAATTCGCGATATGGTGTGCGCGAGATAGTGGATGCCATTAACATTCCCAGAATAACGGTACATAATCATTTAATCAAAATGGGATATGTGAATCGGTATGAAGTCTGGGTTCCACGCCAATTGATAGAGACCGACCTTATGAATCGCGTTTCTACATGCAATTTGCTTCTTCAGCAACATGAAAAAAATCCTTTTTTAAAGAGGCTTATCACTGGAGACGAGACTTGGATTTTATATCAAAATGTGCATCGAAAACGCACTTGGTCTAAGAAAAATCGATCTTCAATTGTTACGAAACCAGGACTTTATCCAAAGTTCTTTTGTGTATTTGGTGGGACTAGAAAGGTGTAGTGTACTACGAACTCCTTCCACAAGGTGAAACGATCAATTCTGCAAAATATTGCAATCAACTCGATAAATTGAAAGCCACCATAGCTGAAAAACGGCCAGAATTGGTGAACCGACGAGGTGTCGTTTCTCATTACGACATAAAGTAGCATATTCAACGCAAGATCACATGTTGCATTGGCCGTAAGACAGAAACTCTTACAGTTTGATTGGAACGTTCTACCTCATCCTCCGTACTCCCCAGATCTTGCTTCATCCGATTATTATTTGTTTCTCTCGTTAAAAAATTCTCTCTGTGATAAACGTCACAAATCCGAGAGCAAAATAAAAACGCACCTCGATGAATATTTTGCAAGTAAGTCTTAACAATTTTGGAAAGAGGGCATAATGAGGTTTCCTGAGAAATGAAATAAGGTAATAGAGCAGAACGGTTCAAATATAATAAAGTAAATCAACCTCAAATTTTATATCATGTAAAATAAGTAATATACGTATTATGTACAATTTTATAATTACCTAATTCATAAAATTAAAAAGATTAAAAATTATCCATTGATATTTTTTTTATACAAATACAGTTTATAATTTATAAATAAAAAATAATTTTTTGTAATTTATATTTAAAATCTTTATATCTAAAATCCTTATATTTAATAACATATATTTAAAAGTGATAATACAGAAGTTCTACAATATATTTAATTACAAATATTAGTAAACGATTTGATATATTTCTATCATATAACATCTCTGTTGGTTAATTCTCTTTATAATTTATTATTTTGTGTGGTTCTGATTAAATTTACGGTGGTAAAAACAGATATTTATCATTATTACTATATTTACCACCTGCCGGTAAAGAGATTTTTTAAACATATAACAGTTGGTAATTGTGGTTTATTCTTCTAATCGGTTGGTAAATGCTTCCATATAATCTAGCCACATGTTCTTTGTTGATGATGTGCTTATCGTTTTTGACGGATTGTGGAATTTTAATTTCCATGATCATGTTTTTTCCGCGAAATTTATTTTCATTTGCTGTGGAAGTCATTGAGTAATGTCAAATAACAATCATTAGAAACACAAGGTAAGAATTTCTATACAATTTTTTCTTATTAAATAAACGTTTAAAATTAATAGAACATAATAATAATGAGCTATCAAATTAAAACTCTGATCATAAAAATCATCTACGAAAAATATAATTTTTGAAACTTTCATATTATAAAAGTAAACATTAGCATAAGAAGATTAGTATTTTCTATGTTTATGTAAGAAATGATATATAGCTCATCTCGTTATTATTCTTAAATTGATAAATCTTTAAGCATAATATAATCATTCAATTTGAAATTTTGTTCGTAGATAAGATAATTAAGCATAATTCAATTAACATTAAAGCTATCATTTTGTATGCATATTAAAATTATTTTCTATAACAATAAAATACTTGATGAAATTAGATTAAGTCCTATATTATGTGAATATATATATATATATATATATATATATATATATATATATATATATATATATATATATATATATAAATAGAATGCAGCATGTAAATTAGAAACTTGATTTTGTCATTGCAGGTTATTCAAAAATGGATTTAAATTATGATAAAATAAAATTATATTGTAATTTCATATGCTATATTATATCAATCAAATTTATTTTGAAATAGTAAATACAATGCGATGACTGAAAGTTTCATGGCTTTTACTTTATATTAAAATTTCTATGTAAAAGTACAATTTTTGTATAAATATATAGTCTATACAAAAATTTTTCATATAAAATTGTTAATCTTTGAACTATTAATAATATTAGAAATCATAACAATTGTAAATAATATAGGATGAGTACATATATCAAAAAGCAACAAAATAATCTCTATGGATTGGATTTATATTGGATTACTATTTCATATAAGCATATTAGAAACACTTAGCTCAAAAATTATGAAAATGCATTTTTTATAAATTAGTAGTCAAATAAGTTTTTTCAAAATGAAATAGTACGTACATCAGACAGTTAGTATAACTATATACTATGTATCAGAATTAACTGTTTAAAAATGTGATATATATATTTAATCTATTGGTTAAATATGAACTTAATCTCAATCAATATTTGATATCAATATGGCTATAGATATAAAGATGTACAAAATTATGTACATATACATTCTGTAATATAACCAAGTATTTTTTTCTCTTCTAAACAAGACCTTATTTATTTCTTAAATGTAGCTGAATGGGCTCATTTTTCATAGTATATATGATAATAATATAATATATATAATGTAATAAAAAAGCAATTAATCACTTTTTAATCTTACAGAATTTTCATACTAAATCATTCTGTTATGTTTTAGATAATAAGACAATAAAATTTTTGATAATAAAATTAAATACAATAAATAATAAATATGTAAGTTCTATTATCAAATAATGTTTGATAATAAGTTTCATGACCTTTATTTTCCTATGATAACCTATACATTATATTTTCAGTTTCAACATAATAATTATCGTATTATATTCCTGTTAGCATTGAAATAAAGTATCAAAAACATTTTTACCTCTCACAAAATTATTTTGTAAAATTTTAATAGAATCAATTTGTTTATTCGATTAACTATATATTTTTAATAAAATGAATGTCAACTATGAAAGTGACTTATAATTAGTTAGAAATTATAAAAAAAGAAACATTTTTCACGTTCTGCAAAAGTTAGAATTTTAATAAAATTAGTTCAAATATTTCGTTAATTTTTAATATAAACATACTTGTAATTAATTAGGTGCTATTTTAAAAACATTTAAGTAAATTTAGTTTGAAATTTTAAACAGCACTTGTCTCACTAATCTGAATAAGAAAAATATATATATATGGCGTTAAAAAGTTGAATGTTCTTAGAACGTAACAGAATATGAAATTTCATTGAACTTCAAGATAATTGATAATTAAATTTTTACTTTAATAAATTTGATATTATCAAAAACATATCAGCGATGGGTGATATAAATTCAAAATCAATTTTTTTTTAATTGTCAAATTTAAAGTAGACAAAGTTTAAAAAGCGCGGATAGGAATAAGAAACTCATATTTATATAAATTATTTCTGCGATGTAATCGATCGTTAAAACTAAATTCTTTTATTTATTTTTATAATTTTTCTTAACTCTTTTTTTTCTCAACTAAATTTTCTAAGTTTTTCTATCAATAATTGTTATCTCGCTTTGCGATCTTTAACTATTAAACCAATAGTGAATATCAAAGTCAAAAATCTTTTAAATATTATTTTCTTTTGTTCTACGACGCGATAAATTCTATTTTTTAATTGGTAAGAATCGATTATACGATACTTTTTCTTCTTCTTTTGTTTCTTTTCTTGCGGACGTTAGGTAGTAAGTTCTTTGTTTATTATAATCTATGTTCCTCTAAGTTTTACATATTCGCGGTGTTTTATCGATCTCTGAATTACTTTTTTCAATTAAACCTATAGATTGGTTAAGTTTATTTGAATATAGATATTTTATATAGAGAGTATCCCATTTAAATCAATTCCTGAATATCTGTAATAATACAACCAATATCTACGATGATATAAAAAAGATTTTTTTATTATCAACAATTACGCAGATATTCGAGAGGATTGATTTAAAGGAGACACATTGTATTATATTATATAGATATTGAATGTAAATTAATTATAAAATGTACACATTTCAAGTGAGAAGACCAAGCGATCTACCACTACGTCAGTTACATTGATGAATAATATTTGTAAATAATATTGCTAATTATTAAGTAATTAATGATTTTCGTCTTTTTTTTTTTTTTTTATAAAAGTTTTTATATCATATAATATCTAAATCTTTTATTCCTTTGTTCTATGCTATTGTATTTTCAGAAAAATGGAATGTATTTGGAATGAATTAGAAAAATTCTATGGATCACAAGTAGCAACGTTAGTTAAATAATATTTTCACTTAATCAAAAATTAAGAAATTTAAAAATTTTTTAATAATATCGTTTTTCTTTCAAATCAGATATTGTAAAGGCAAGAACTTAATACTTGAGAAAATAAAATGTGGTGCAATTAAATTGCATAATTGTGCGGATCTTATGGAATGTTCAAGAATTTTACAAGATGAAAAAGAACAACCCTTATTTTCTGATTTTTTGGCATCACAGTTTGGTATTTCAAAACTGCCATCGAAAAGTAATAAATCGAGAATAAATTCCAGTAAAATTGAAATTTCATTCGATTATAATATTTTATTGTTTTCAGAAGAAACTTTAAGTAATGAGAGAAAAATCAAAGAAGAAAATAATCCTTATCTTAGAAATATAAATTTAAAAGTTGTATTAAAAGAAAAATCTAATTTCATATCAACTAAACCTGTTTCGAACAATTGTATTCTTGATACAGCCCTATTTGTTAGAGACATATATAATGATATAATTAAGATGAAAGTGAATAGATTTGATGATACAGAAGTCGACCAGAATTATTCTAATCAGTTAATGTTTATCTTGAAAAATTTTCAAAAAAAACATAAGAATTATTCATATAATTTTCATTTAAATAATATATTGGAAAAGAAAAATACAAGAGGATATTATGGCACATTAACACAGTCATGGAAACAAATTGATGAAATTGAAATAGACATAAAAAAAATTAATTATTTTTTTAATAATATTTTAATTAAAGTAGTGCCTTTGGAATTATTTGGTTCCTACAAAAATATAGAAGTTATTCGCAAGCTGATTTATTGCATTCTTAAGAGTGCAAGATTTCAACCAATATATTTAAAATCATACATTAATAGGTTAAATGTAAGCTTTCCTCATTATTTCAACTATATTAATCGTTTCAACCATGTATAAAATACTTAGAAGATTATATAAATATTTTATGTTTCAGATTGACAAAATTGAGTGGTTGAAATCTTTTAAAGAGGAATCGGTTAAGTGGCTCATTATCAGTAAATTAATTTATTGGTTCATTAACAAATATATATTATTAATTGTTAATAGGAATTTTTTTTTAACAGTACATCCTGCTGCCATTGGCAAAAGGTTGTACATTAAAAATGGTAAATGGAAAACTATAAGAAAACATTTTGTCAAAGACAGAATCAACAAAAAAGTTTTTATTAATGTTTTTGAGAACAAATGGCTTTCTCCAAAAAGCGAATTCAGGCTTTTTCTAAAACACTCTGGTTTGAGACCAATAGCGAAAACTAGGTATATTTGGATCGATTATTTTTATTTATGTGATTTTTGTATTTTACATCATTAAGTAAATTTACAACTTATAGTTATACTAGCAAAGAAGAAGATCATATGACTATATTATTGAAATTCTTAAGACAGCTGTGCGTTACACATTACGGGTTGGCATCAATGTCACAATTTCGAGATAAATATAAAGCTATCGTTTATAAAAGAAATAATTATGATTGCAATAAAATGTGGCTAGTATCTTGTGACATAGATGATGCTTTTAGTTCAATACGATTAGGTACAATTATAATCTTCTAGTTATTATATATGTTATGGCCTAAATAATTAATACAGGTATTATAAATATAGACAAATAAAATCGAGCACTATAATAAACTTATTATAGAAAACTCTAAAAAGACGTAATCTTAACGTTACAATTTATTACAATACTTGATTTTGTTTGTCATTATTCATAATGACCGTATTAATAACTTAGTCCGTAACATATATACTGATTATTCATATATTTATTATATATATATTTTTCAGATAAATTAAATAATATAATCAAAATTTTGTGTGAAAATCTTCCAAATAAATTGGGCCTTAAATGGATGGCATTTTTGCCTATTAAAAGTAAAACTGGAAATTTAAGATTTGAACAATATTTTGTTGATTTGTATGTAGCACTACCGATTGGAACAATTCATGCTCCTACGACTATAAGTATGAGTAAAACGCATATTACTCATATAATGAAGCAGAATTTGTTAGACGATATAAATAAGTGCATATTTGGTCAAAAAGTATGTAATAACAAATCGTCCATTTTTATATGTAATGATACCAGAATTAATAATTTTTTTCTTTTTGTTTTAGATAGAAATAAAGAAAAAAAAATATTTATTAAATAAAGGTATTCTACAGGGTACGATTCTTTCAAATGTATTTTCTGATATATATTATAATTACATATATCATCAGCGAATGTCTGAATTTATGCAATCCGGCATATTATTTCGATATGTAGATGATACATTGTATATAACTGAAAATAGAGAGTCTGCTGAGAAGTAAGATAAATTAAATATAGTTAATAATAATCCTATATTATGATTACTATATCGTATATTACGATTTATATATTTTTATAGATTTATGGAAACAATAAACAAAGGATTTCCTGAATACAATTGCAGCTTCAAACAATCCAAAATACAGACTAATTTGCCTCATAAAAATAATTATACTACGAATGAAATAAAATTCTTAGGATATAAAATAAATTGTGATAGTTTGGAATCTTTACCATATTTTAAAAATGCTCATCCTTCTCATTTATTTACACTTGCTATGAAAAATAAGAAATGCGAAGATGCTACTACGTAAGTACTATTTACAGCTTTTAAAACATACTTAAAAAGTATTTCACAGTACTTTGAATAATTGAACTTTTTATAATTATTCATAGGATGTTCAAACAAAGAATTACTAATCACTCATATCTTAGATTATCAAAAATTATATTATATGATCCAACTAAGTGTATACATCGTTTAACAGTTTTTGTAAAACAAATATCTATTATGCAAGCATGGCGAGCTCTTATGTTTATACAAAAACTATTTGGTGATACACATAAATTATATACAAATTATCAAAAGATTTTTCTTATTATTAAGATAAGTAACAGAAAAATTGTAACAGCCATTTTAAATCATTGTATGGAAGGTACGTTAAAAAGTTCAATTGAAGATACAGATTTTTAAGCTTATTTCATATATTTTTATATTAAACAGATATACAAAAGAAAAGTAATTTTAATGGAAACAAAATGAAACAAAAAATTTTTATATCATTGTGGACTGCATACAAACGAATATTTTCCAATGATACAGTTATATATAAGATATTTATTGATTTAATCGAAAAAGAAATGGAAAATCGGCGGAGATACATCGGAAAAAAATATATGGCCTAACCCACAAGAACATATCGGCGATTTCTTCATAAATATCATTTTTTTTTTTTTATAAAAAACTTTACATGTATAAAATGTACATCTAAAACACTAATACGTTTTTATTTAATAATAGGTCCAATCTGCTTTATTATTATAGCTTGATACTATCTCAACATAATTTTTATCAATTTTTTAACATGATACAAATAGTGATACAAGTAGTGATATTTGATGAATACAATCTATTAGAATTCTTAATATTAAAATATGTTTTCCGTTAAAGTTGTGTTTCATTCATACATTAACCATTTTGTATACTCAATATTCAACTCGAAGAACTCTGTTCTTTTTCATGACATAAACAATTCTGAGAGAATTTTAGCAAACATATATTGGAAAAGATTTTATATGTTTAAATTATCACAATCACTCTCTCAGTAGGTATCAGTTGTCAAAAACAAAGCTGACGCGCTCTTATGGAACAGATCGTAAATATATTTGTTAACATATCAGAAGATCAATTGATCATTTAGAATTTTTTGGAAATCCATCGAAAGAAGACGGAAAAAAACTTCAATCAAGTAGAATATGATTTATAGTTATATGAACTATAATATAAATATATATGTATATATATATAAGTATTCACTAATTATTTTTAATAAAACATTTGATAAAATCTTGTTTTTTGTCGCAAATTTATATATTAATTAATACATGTGTATAATAATGCGAAGAGACTCGCGTTATTCGATAATATGGGAATCATTGATGCTATTTCGTCATGAAGTGCGATTTCTAATGCGATTCAGCGAAGATAAAAACTGAGCAATCTCTGTGTATCATACCAAAATTGTTCAATTTTCCAAAATTGTCCACCCAACAGAATAATTGGATGCACAGTTCGATAATTGATGAATCCTGTAGCCAAAATATTAAGTAATTCCACGCTTTATAGTCGTCCAAAGAACAATTTTCATGGATGAAAAATTTAAGTTAGCTGTGAAATCTGGCCAGACTTTATATCGACTATTAAAGAAGATTAGTGAAATTTGTAACAACTGTATTTTTGAATCTTCATTTTGATTATAAAGAGATTGTTGCCGATTTCATTTTCGATTGAACACGAGTGGCAGATTGCGGTTCTGCTTTAGCTATTAGGTCTTGCACGATCAACAGTGTATCTATATATTCGTTTTCAAAATTGAATTTCTTGTCCAAATACTTTGTCCAAGAAGAATTGTGTCCAAATACGCGTCCGATTCACAAGTCGCAATGAAAAAGGCACAAAGCTAAGACACGAACTTTGTCCTTCACAAAATACATATACCGCATTTCTACAAATTAATGGAAGAATGCAATATTTTTGTTGATTCTTGGAAAAATCATGAGGGAGATACGTGATAAAAGAGGGAGACACGTGCACTTCGTGAATTTAAAATTGTAAGAATACTTTTTACGTATTTAAATACAATTATACGATATTCGTATGTCATTAATCGTGCATCGTTAATTATGCTGATTATTTTTAACAACTAATGAAAGCAGTCATTGCCTTCACAGGTTACGATTGTAGTGGTGCTTCATTGAAAATGATTACATTCTTACTCTTCGATGTAGCAGATTGAAAAATATAAAACATTCAAATAATAAACAATCTATGTGCATTTATTACAATTTTGTGAAAAAAAGAATAAAAGAATAAAACATATGTTGAGGTAGATTGAACGATATTCTACTGTAGGATGTACTCGCAATCATCCATAATAGACGAGTATACCTTTTTCTTACTTAGGCATCAATTATGCCAACAATTACACTCCATTGGAAACCTTTGTGGAAAAGTTAGAAATGTGAAAACGCTCAAGTTTTATTAATGAAAATGTTCAATCTTACAACTCATTCTAAGAGTATATATGTACATACAAATTTCATTAGCATGTAACATCGTTAAAAGAATAATGCAAATCTCGCTTATCTGCACATCGTTATGAGGATATTTAAAAAATAACCGATCTGCCTAAAATTTAGAATAGGAAATAAATCGATGCCTTTCTGCATTTACGGATCAAATTCTCGTTATCCTATCGCGTCGTTATCAACATTCTATTATTCCTTTAACCTTAGGTAACCCATGCGCTTATTTAATACCTTCGGAGATATAAACAAAAGTTCAATATTTTTATATACTTCAATATTTTAATTTTGCTTATAAAAATACATTTCTACAACAAATTCATCGAATCTTGTGACTGGAACTTCGCCTTGTAATATAACAAACTCCTTATTAAATTTTAGACCAATTAGAATCGTAGGGATAATATTATTATCCAGCAGGAAACAAATTTTTTATCCTTGGCAAAATTCGCAAGTGGTGACCTAGGATCTATAGAGGGGGAAGTCAGAAGGAATCAGTTAAAAAAATCTGAAAAATCAGTTAGTATTTGTCATCCTGTAAAACAGGTTATTAATTAACTAATATATTGGTGATTAGTTCTTAAATCTATATTCTGCATTCGGTGAAATTGATGATTAATCAACAAATGCGTATTTTGCATTCTTAGAAACTGATAACTAAGTAATAATTCCGTATTCTGTAAAATCGATAACTAAATAATAAGTCCGAATTTTGTATTTTGTAAAACTGACAGTCTGTTAATAAATCTATGTTCCTTATTTCATATACAAATTTACTAGACTGCATTCAAAAGTCAGTAAATCTGCAATCAATTAAACAATCCGTATCCTCTTACTAGTCCTATTTAATCCGACTAACTCATTGAGATGAAAAATCACTGTTATATACCACTTACAGAAAAGGTAACTAACTTGAAATTTTTATTCTAATATCCTGTCTACTGCCTCATTCATTCCCAACCTATTTATCTATTAGATTTCTATTTATTTCATCCGACCTGTGTCTCCCTATTCTGTCGCTCGTTATTAACTTCACGTTTCTTAAGTTTAACTCCTGGTAAAGATTTCACGGCCTGACCAAAAAGTGAATTATGTTACAAGATGTTACAGCAAGAACAGTAGATTCTTGTTATTCTCTCGAGTCGCGTTGCATCAATTGAAATAAATTTCAGTTAAATCATTCAGTCAAAATTTCTACTTATCGAATCTGTTGATGATTGTGAAACGCGAAAATCATCGTTTTTCCAGTCGATTGAAAATTTTTATCTAGAATCTAACTAAACGATTTCTTGATTCTTATATATTTCAATTGGACAGATCGATTGAGATTGTTTCCAGATTTCTAGGATCAGTTTTTTTTTTAACATTTCTCGGGTGCTAGCAGTTGTCGGTATTAGCGAATAGGATCTTTGGTATATCTTGCAATAGCGATCCCCGTTGATTTAGGCTCGCAGCATTTCGTGCATCTTGTGATTAATTCTGCTGATTATTATTGGGTTGGCAACTAAGTGATTGCGGATTTTGTCGATAGATGGACTTTACACTTTCCGCAATCACTTAGTTGCCAACCCAATAAAACTGTTCATTACCTCTGGTTTTTTAATGAATTACGTCGTCAATGAGAACAAACGTAATTATTGACAATTTTAATGAACAAGGTCTCATTTTAAAGACGAAGGTTTAATCTATGGTGCCCTTTCTGTGGATTTTAAAAAAAGCTTTATTTGCTTTGAAAAAAATCGTGTTAAAAAATGGTATTTCTTCAAGTATAGTTTATGCACAAACAAAAAGTTTTTTTAAAACTTCACCATAAGGGCACCGTAGATTAAACCATCGTCCTTAAAATAAGACCTTCTTCATTAAAATTGGTCGAGAATTACTTCTGTTCTCCTTGATGGGGTAAATGCAGTTTTCGAAGATTTTTTGCGAAGAAAAAATTTAGTACTATGATGCCCCTTGAAATTTCCGGCAAAAGAGATGAAGCTCGTGATTTTCATATATTGTTGGGAAAAAAGAAATCCATTATTTTTTTGGTAGATGGCTGTAGTGATCGACATTTAATAAAGTATCGATCAAATAATTTCAAATTTATGCTCGTTGTCAAGATGACATTTCACACTAAAAAAATTCTTTTGCTATTTTAGTTTAGTCCATTCAGTTGTGAGTTACAGGGTGTTAAAAATGGAAGTCAACAAAGAGAAAATTTGGTACATTTTACAGTTTTTCTTTGATAAAGGTGAAAATGCAAGCCAGGCGGCTGAAATTGTGAATGGTGTTTGTGATCCCGATACTGTAACAACTAATTACGTGCAATTTTGGTTTCGTCGATTCCGTTCAGGTATTTTTGATGTTAAAGATGCACCTCGGACAGGCAGGCCCGTCGTCGAAAGTGTCGATAAAATCACAGAAATAATCGATGTTGACCGGCATGTTAGTAGTCGTAGCATCGGCCAGGATCTAAAGATCGACTATAAAACAGTTTTAAACCATTTGCACAAAGCTGGATTCAAAAAGAAGCTCGGTGTTGGGTGCCACACCAATTAACACCAAAAAACATGATGGATCGAATTTAAATCTGCGAAGCCTTGGCCAAACGGAATGAAATCGACCCATTTCTTAAACGGACGGTGACTGGGGATGAGAAATGGGTCACATACGACAATTTAGTGCGAAAACAATCGTGGTCAAAGCGCGGTGAAGCAGCTCAAACAATGGCCAAACCAGAATTAACGGTCAGGAAGGTTCTGCTGTGCATTTGGTGGGACTAGAAAGGAATCATTTATTATGAGTTGCTTCCATATGGCCTAAAACTAAATTCAGATCTCTACTGTCAACAACTGGACCGTTTCAAGCTAATGATTGACCAGAAACGGCCAGACTTGGTCAACAGAAGAGCTGTTGTGTTCCATAAGGACAACTTCAGGCCATACACGTCTGTAGTGACTCGCCAGAAACTCCGGAAGCTTGGTTGGGAAGTTTTAATACATCCACCATATAGTCTGGACCTGACACCAAGCGATTACCATCTTTTTCTCGCATTGCAAAAATTCCTGAGTAATAAGAAATCTGCATCAAGAGAAAATTGTGAAAATCGATTACTAGAGTTTTTCGCCAATAAGTACCAAAACTTCTATGAGAGAGGCATTATGAAGCTACCTTTAAAATGGCAACAAATTATATTAGGTTGGCAACTAA